AAAGCAAAATTTTCAAGAGATTCCCAGGCTCTGAAGGTGGCAGATAAGTGATTGCTGCTACTGAAACGCTCACAAATGCTTGTTTTTCTGACTACAGCTGCACACTTTGGAAACGGAACGTACTTTGCTGTTAACGCCATGTATTCTGCCAATGACACCTACTCTAAACCAGATGTGGATGGGAAGAAGTACATGTACTTGGCTCGAGTCCTTGTTGGAGAATATTCTCGGGGGACAAAAGGATCAATTACTCCAGCACCAAAAAACGCTAGCAACTCTATCGATCTGTTTGATAGTTCAACTGATAATGTGAACCAGCCATCCCTGTTCGTCATATTTAATGACATTCAAGCTTACCCAGAATACCTTATCACTTTCACTAGATAAGCATTTTGATCGCAGCCAAGTTGATGTCTTTCCATCTTATAACTGAAACAGTTATAAGAAAATACACAATGAAAACAATCAACAGTTTTATCAGATTAAATTCTTAAAGCTTGTTTATATTTAAGCAACTTCTGGCAATTTTTGATAGCACTGAAATAGACTGCTTATTTACACTCAGAGTAACTGAGAGTATTTAACACTTGAGCTTGTTATTGTACTGAAAACTGCTGTTAGACTACAGGTCAAGCCTTTATAATGTATTAGCCATTCTGTGCAGCCTTACGGCCGTCCTGGTTGCACTAGGAAGTAAGGACTGGTGGGGGATTGGAAGAGATCTTCTTTCAGTTACTGGCCGCTTGATGTTGCGTTTCTGATGGCTTCTTACACTCTGTAAATGATAATCTGCATCATGAATTGCAGTATAGTGGTTTTCAATAAACAAACTAATTATAGTTCATGGCTTGTGTTTGCCTAAACCTCCCCAAACATTTAACATTTTGTTTTCGACCAATGAACTTCAATGAACTCGATGTCTCAAGTATGGCTTTGTTTTAACAGAATAACCCTCCCTGGCAAGTTAATAAGAGGTTCTACAGAAGGTTATAGAAGTTGCATGAGTTACTTACATATTGCCTAAGAGAGACGGGAAAGGTATTTCTGTGATCATATACCAGCTGCAGCAACCTTCCTGTGATCTTAAGGCGAAATGGATAGAGCAAAGCAGAAAACAGAGGAGTTGGGGGGGGGGTTTCTGAGATTTAAATAAATACGTTATCTCAAAGGGGTGATCATTAAGCCAAAGTTCAGAGTTCCATGTTGGAGGGGGCAAGAAGCAAAGCAACATCATCTTCTTTGTAGCATGTTGATGGAATAAAAATATATGCCTCAGCCTTAGATACTGTAACATCTTCTAGTGAAAAAAGCACGGTGATGCATCCACCTCCAAATCCTAAAAACCCTTGACTCCTCCAAATGTATCAGGTTTGACTTCTTATTTGGTTGGATGATGAAGAGAAAATGTTCCAATACTTGCTTTACATAGGTTGCTGTTACTTTAAACTTTTACTGTGGGTTGGTGTCTCCACATGAGTAATAATCATTGCAGAGTAAACATAGCTGAGGACCACGTTTTCTAGGGAAGGTGGGGTGAAATAATGTGAGCCTGCAAGTATCTCAGCAGAGCTGTAAGCATCCGGCTGTTTGTTCACACCCCGTGCCATCACTGGTGCTGGAACCGCTCGCTTTGGGCTTTCTTGCTTTTGATCACGTCAGTTTTCTAACTTGAAAAATGCTGACTGTATTCCTAGTGCTTGAAGTCAAGATATGGGCATGGGGCCCAAAAGTCTAAAGTTTTGCTTTTAAAATGAATAAACTTAATTGATACCTATAACAAATTATGTCACTGGTTCATCAACACGACAGGAGGCAGAGGTGATGGCTCGGGGTGCTTCACTGGAACTGATGAGTCACTGGTACCACTCTGACCTTTCTCCTCAGGAGAGAGTAACGCATCTGTTCTCTGCATCTCCATCACCACAAGAAGCCGTGGAGAACACCAAAGTGTTTTTTCTACCAGTGCATGCATTCCAGGTGCCTAGGGCATCCAGCACGGCTGTCCTGGTTTGAGGCAGAACAAAACCAATTTTCTTTTCAGTAATTTTACTTTACAGTGAAGTCTCTTTTAACAGACTGCACTCTCCAAAATGAACGGCATGTTTTTCAGACAGTCCTTCTAGCGGTGATAAGGTTTGATGTTTATAGTTACTCCTAAGGCATGGTATGCAGAGAGGCTCCAGCTTAGACTTATTGCCATAACAACCAAGGCCACCTCGCTTGTGTTACGTGCCAACGTGGAGGGCTGGAAGCTGAAGAACGTAGCAGGGTCCCACCTGCGGGGAGGAGCGGACAGGACAGGTGACCCCAAACTGACCAACGGGGTATTCCATCCCATCTGCCTCCTGCGCGGTATAAAGCGGAGGGATCAAAGGATCAGCCCTCTTCCTTCAGTGGCCGACGTCCGAGGAGGACTCTGTCCATTCGTCTGCCTGTGATCCCCATCCGTGCCTTCCTGCACCCAGTTCCCATCCGCTGCCCTGAGTCCAGTTCCAGTGCCGGCCGGTGATGTGATCATCATCCGGGGAGCTCGAGATCGGTTTTGTATATATTTACATGTATTTATTTTCTTATTAATATTATTTTCTTTTTATTGTTAATACTTCGTTATAGCTGGTTTAGGGTTGGGTTTTTTTCCCCAACCCATAAGTCCCTGTCCCTTCCCCTTCTGGGAGAAGTAGTTGAACATAAGGGAGTTAATAGCACCCGTGGTGCTGTTCGTGGCCAGCCCAGCCCGCACCTTGGCCAGTAGCCCCGGGCTCTGCCCAGGCGAGGGGTAAGAGCCGCTGCTTCCCCAGACCAGCCCGGTACCACCTACAGGCCGGGGCGGGGGAGGCCGATGGCAGCCAGGGGACCTCGTTCCTCCGGCAGGCCCCCGGGGTTTCCG